ACTCCTACTTCACCTGCTCAGCATCATGGGTCTGCCAGTGGCAACTGATTTCACTGAGAGCAGAAGAGGGCCTTGCAGTAACTTGATGTACACAGATGCTGCTTTGAATCTCTCACTGAACTGTATTTATGTAAAGACTTTTTCCTTGCCTTGCTTCAAAAGTATTCTTGATAATGATTTTGAGAGAGGAAAAACTGGGATAGCCTAAGTTCTTCCTATGTGTTGAAAAGTTTGTCTCATATTTATTTTACAATGTAAATATTTTTTATTTATTCTACTCTTCTAAATCAATATTTTAACAACAGAACTACTATGTTTTGTTCTATTAATTGCATTAATCACATATAGAGACTTTAGGCTTTAGCTTAGTAATCAGCAAATGTAACAATGTGAGCTCAGGGGTTTGGGTATGTAGAATAGCTTGTTATATTAGAGTTCTAAATAACTTCTTTAAAATTTGCTTTTAATTTCATATTTCTATTCTTATAATTTTTTAAAAATTCTGATTTCTTTCAGATTATTATTTCACTGGCTATTGGTTTACTAAGTATTTTTAATACAATAATATGTAAAAGAGTAAAGTTTCACATGTCCGTCTGCTTTATTGTAGCATAGATACTTTTATAGGGTAAAGATGAAGTTAAAATGAATGGAGTTTGTATTCTAAAATACTTGTCTTCTAAAGGGCTTACAAGAAAAAGATAAACAAATCAAAAAACAGCATGAAGAAAATGTGGAAGCTCAGCAATTTTTCCAAATCCAGTTGCATGAAAAAACTGTTGAATTTGAAGAGCTAATGCAAAAATTAGAAAGGCAAAATGAAAGAAAAGAGGAATTAAAGCAGCTTCTAGAAGAAAAAAATGTGGAACTTGATGACATTAAGAATGCACACAGGTGATTCATAGAAGTGGCAATAGTTCTGTGGAATCATAATAGTATGCAATGCTGCTCTGAAGTTCTTCTATGTTCAGAGTGTACTTGCTTGCTGTTAAAACCCACAGAAATGTGGAAAAATGGAAGCATGGAAACCTTTTTTTCTGTCCTTCTAAGAAGTGGTTTCTACCTTGATTGTAAATACGTGCCTTTTATTTTTAGTGCACTGAAAAAGAAGTGGCAAGGTAAAGGAGAGCTATTAAGCCAGCTGGAGGTGCAGGTTAAACAAATGAAGGAGAGCTTTGACATCAAAGAGAAGAAGCTGATTGAAGAGAGAAATAAAAGTCTTCAGACTCAGAGGTGGACACTTTAATAGCTTACTTTGTGACTGCTCAGTATAGAGTTGCACTGTTAATAAGTACACAGAAATGTTTGATTCTATGGTGAAAGAGAGCCTAATACCTTTTCAAGTACTTGGTGAGTCCAGTTGCTGTAAACCCTGTGTGCACAGAAGTAATTCTTGCTATACAGGCGACTTTGCTTCATGGAGCACCAGCTTCAGTTACACCATTCGTTCTTTAAACTTCTTACCTTCCGTCCCATTTTCTTTGAAAGTAATTGGAGCCTGCACTCGTTCCGCCTTAGTCTGCCCATTGCGCCACCGTGCTGTTGTTTGAGCTCCATGCGGAGCCTCCACGGCCCGCTCAGACGGCAGGGCTCTGCTGCCGCGAGGCCCAC